AGCTCAGGTAGCTAGAGGTCTTTTATCTTCCTCAACTGTGGACAGTGAAAAGAGAAGTGACTACATAGGCAATTCCGTAACATGAGGAACTGATCTGCCAAATTAAAATTAGTTTAGGACACAAGAAATGAGTGTTGAGTTCTACCACTTAGCATGATCACTTTCAGCAGTCAAAGTTATTTTCATGCACTTGTATTTTTCCCTTTTAAGTCACACACAACACTATCACCTACTTCAGGAGAACTGATGAATTATGGCCAATAGAAGTAGTCAACATCCTTGTAAAATAAATAGAACAATGTTCCTGACTTTTGAAACAATTTCTATCAAAACCAGGTTGAGAGGGAGGGATATATCCAGACTTTTGGTGGGGCAAGCATTCTTTTTGACTGGAAAGATCCCTTCAGTACAGAAATAACAACAATATGTTTTCCTAGTCTAAGTCTGAACAGAAATTTCCCAGAGAGAGTAAGAAGGGGGCGTGGAAGCATAACAGAATGAAGATACAGACCACCCTGGCTAGGCAGGAGCTCTCTCTTTCCCTTTAATGCAAATCACAGTAGTCAAAAGTCTTACCCACAAAAATGCATTGAGGTTGGCTCAAGATTGATGTGGGAGGAAAGAAAGGGTAGATAAAAGCCAGGCACTCAGAATAAAATACCTAACTTTTAAACCAGGAAGAGTTATGAGTATAATTAAGACATTTTTAAAAAAAAAAAAAAAGGATTTGAAAAACTAGTTAATCACTCACCCAAGTACTAAAGAGTAAAATAAACCTTTACATGGCAGTAAAATCTTAATGATGGAAGGGAATGCCAAACAACCCATGGCAACATTTAGGAGTCAGCTTGAATATCTGGTAGATCCAGAGGCTGTGTCATTTCACAACAGCATCAGGAAAGCGGGGACTTTCCTCCTCTTCCAACCTTTCCTGCACCCCTTTCCCTGAGGGAGGGAGGCTAGAAACACTTGAATAAAACTGTACATGCCAAGGAGGAAAGAAAGGTGACTACAGATGTTACCAACAGGTTGTTCTTTGGAGAGTGTATTTAAAGGAAGGAGAAGTTAATTTTAAGTCAAGTTCAGAGGCTGGTTTATTATTCATTTAGTGCAACATATCCTAATTTCTGAAGTAAGGTCACGTTCAGCAACAAAATAAAAATTTCTATTAAAAGGAATGTACAGAATTCCAGTTTAGGAAAGTTTTAAGTAATGACTGAAGACAAAAACAGGTAGAAAAAAATTCTGCAAACTTTAAAAATATGTTTCAGTTTTACAGGGTGAAGTGAGTTCCGGAGATGGATGGTGATGATGGTTGTATGACACTAGGAATTTAATATCAATTAACTATACAGTAAAAATGGTAAATTTTGTGCTCTGTGTATTTCGTCGCAATAAAAAAATGAAGGAAAAAGTATAGAAAGGTAAACAGTAAATAGTTGTTAGGAATCAATATGATCATTTCAAATAAAACATACCTATCATTTCTGTCTTTTTTTTTTTAACCAAAACTTGCTTTCAGTATTACTTCCATTTTGCATATAAAATATTTAATATTCTTGTTCTCAAAAATCAACAAACCTTTCTGAGGTCCCTCTAGAACAGTCTGAGGAAAATAAACTCATTAGGCATCAAATGCCTCCAGAATGACGCTGATACTGAGACAACACATTTGCCTCTCTGGAGTCCATGAACATTTTGAGATGGAGTGTTAAAACGAGGTAGGCTTTCTTTGCAGTCAATCTTAGTTCTTACCTGATGGTATGTGGCTCCAAAAGGACTTTTCCTTTACCTAGCTGTTAAGGATAAGTATACAGAAATTCTGCATGTAGCAGTAATACAAGTAATTCTGATATAATATGCCAAGGTGTGTGTACACACACAATTAGGAGGGATAGAGCAAAGAGAAGAAAATAAAACAAAAATGTGTTACACACACCTTCCTTTTCTAGAAGGCAATTTCTTGGAGTAAATACTTGTTTCACTGCTATTTTCAAGTCAATACAACTCACCACTTTGCTAAACAAGTTACCTAAAAGCTGCTAATTCCTTGTACATGGGCAATCCTCCCTCAAATTATTAGTAACTGGAACTTTAGAACCACGAATATCACTGGAATCAAGCTATAAGAAAATTCCAACACATTAAAATGAAGTCAAGCCACAGCGCTGTAGAACATAGCATATGGAAGTGCTAGACAGAAACTGCAAGCAGAAAAGACACATAATTTGGGAATTCTAGCAAGACATGAGCAAGTATGATTAGAAGGTATTTCACTGCTTTTCCTACGGTCTCTACACATTTCAAAAAGTAATTTCTGAATGTGACTACTTGCTTGCTATACTACTGTCATCTCACTAAGTATAGCAAACATCAAGAAGACTATCAGTATTCATCAAAGTTTATCAATACTGACTCCACACACCCTAAAAAATAAAGGCTGGGAAGAACTCTACTCGTGCCTGAACCAGCAAATTAGTATTAGAATCTGCAGGAAAGGTATCATGGAATAAAATGGACGTTGTGTGTTTTTTTTTTTTTTAAGTACACATCAAACTTAAAAGTTTCTGTACGTAAGATCTGCAAGTTAGATTTTAGGTTGGGAGCTAATTCCTATACAGATTAGTAAATGGGAGAGAACTTTGTCATCAGTCAGGAATTCTTACATACTCTGACCAACCATGTAGAAAATACTGAGAAATAATCGCAGCTACTACTTACTGAGGACTTACTAGGTGCCAGGTTACAGTAACCTTCACAATACTTTGAGGTAAATATCACTAATTCACAGAAGTAACATAACTTGTCCAATTTTATACAGGTAATAAAAGGTGGGAAATGGAATTCAAAATAAGTTCACCTAATCACTAACACATAAACTTTGGCCTGTCAGGTTATTTTTGGCCTGTCAGGTTATTTTTTTTATACTATAAGCATATGGGAGACAAAAAATTTTAAGGATAGGATTAATGACCATATTTAATGCTAGATCGGGATCACTAACCAACAATGGAGGGCAGGCTGAAGGTAAGCTGAAAAAGGGCCTCAAAGTTTAGATAAAAATTGCTGAGGAACTGGACCAAGGAATAGAAAGAATAATACCTAAAATCTTTACATGGTAAACTTATCAATATATTTAGTTTATAGGAAAAAGATGAAGGAAGCTTAACTCGGGTTACCAGATAAGCTACTAGTAAGGGGTTAGTACTGGTAGTAATTACCGACTGTATATTGAAAGGCCTAAAACAGGTCACAGTTTGGTTTTGTTTTAGGCGGAAGCCAATAATCAAGACAAAAATGCTGCAATCCCCCCACCACCATCCCCGCCCCGCTACCACCAGCTATGCTTTGTCAAAAATACTCATCTTGGGCAAGAAGACCCTTCAATATTATCCCTCTTTTTACTGAACAGGTGCTGAGTGGCAAGACTGAGCCAATATTCTGGTGTCTCACGGGTTCTGGTAGAACCAGGATGGAGAACAGTCCTGCCTTCTCTATTCTACTTATTCTTCCACTTCTCCAGTCCTCCCAGTTCTACTAAGGGAACGCATATCACCAAAATAAAATCATTCAATGTTTTTTTTTACAAGCGAAGGTCAAGTTTTAAAATGTCTAATTTTCTTTGGAAAACCTTGTTCTTCCTATTAGTTTCTTCAAGTCCTAAACAGCCAGGAGGGAAAGAATGTCTTTAAGTCAATAAAGACTCTGCTGCTGTTCCTCTATAAGAAACTAAAGCCCCGGTGACAAATTCTGCTGGGCTGAAACTAGGCCAATTAAATGAGGGCTACCCTCAACCACTGACAGAAAGTACCTAAACCGCACAAAACTTCGCAATCGTCTGTGCAGGTTCCTCTGCCAAGTCGGGCCCTTGTCCCCAGCAGTGCACTCCGATCACCCCGGGATCAGGAAGGAGAGCTGCCTCCCAGGCAGCCAACTTCCCGGTTCCCAAGGCTCCCGCGCACCGCATCGGGGCCGGAAACTACTGCGCGAAAACGTATTGGGAAGAACAAGGTTGCTTAGAGCCGAGGGCCCCGTCTGGCGCCCTTTGAAACAATAATCAGATATCTAAAGTGTCGTGTATCGTAAGCAGCACTGGGAGTCTGCAGTCGCGACGTGTTCGGCTGCTGACCTGGAAAAGGACAGGCTTTCCGAGAAACCAAGTCTCTGCTCGGTGCGGACGCGACGCTCGGCTGGTCTCCATTCGGGGAACCGGGGACCACCCTGCACCCCAATCGGTCCCGCGTCCCTGCAGCCTCCCCTGGCTGGGGCCTGGGGTACTGACACCGCCGGACGCCGAGCTCACCGAGCTGCCGCCCGCGGCCTGTGCGCCCGCGCGTTTCTCCGGCATGGCTCCCGCCTCGGGCTCCGACGCCGCCTTCCCCTCCAGCTCCCGCGGCGACTCCGCGCTCAGGCCGCGTCCATGCCCGCGCCG